GTTTGTATCCCTCAGTAACCAGAGAGGCTCTTACTCCCGGAGTTCCTATCTGTAAAGATGATACTGCAAAAATTGTCTGGGTAGTTTTGGGAGTTTCCGTGGCTCTTTCTGCTTTGGTGGTGGGGAAAGTCGTCCACCGTAAGAGAGCAAAGAGGAATGAACAGTATTTCATAAAATGATATTGTCTATATGAATGTTATGTATTATGATAATGATATGCATGCGGAAATAGACAATATTTTTTCTGAGTAAGTGTCTGTCTGTCTTTAAGTGTCTGTCTCTCTCAGTCAAGTCGCGCTGGTGAGTGACCTTCCTTACAGACCAAGACGATGTAACTTTTAGCACCTTGTGTAAACTAGCAAGCCACCTCTGATTTAAGCATTACCACAAGCCCATGATTAATGACGACGAATTTCATTAACATTTAATTTGCACTACTTTCTTTAGATCCAGTGAGTCGGACATTGCTGAGTTTATGTTGCTGGAAGTCCCACACGAGCGGGTTACTATCATGGAGGAACTTGGACAAGGCGCTTTAGGGAGAGTTTATAAGAGCGTGATGAGGGGGTTACCTGAAAAGAATACATCCTCCAAACCCAAGGATCACAGTCTGGATTCGCATAAGGGACGTATTGTTGCTACAAAAGTTCTACCAGGTGCGTGAGTTCAGAATATGGCAAAAAGATAACTTGCTCTTTCAGCAAACGCTATTCACGGGAGTGATTCTCATCATGCACTGAATAACAGGCAAGAGAGCCTCTCTTGTAACGGGTTTGAATATTTAATCCAATAGATAGCAAACATTATATCGTGGAAAACAGCATCTCAATGCCCCAGTCGGTAACAGTGTGATGTACCTCAGGGGCACATTTTAGATCTTAAATTTTGTTTTCTACTTATATTAATGACCTCCCTGAATGTTTGCAATTTACCACACGATTTAATTTGCAATGAATAAAGTAATATAGACATAAACCTTAAGATCAGATCAGTGAGATCAGAACATTGATAAGGTGTGCTCCAAGGTTAGTCGTGTTATAAGTGGTATTAGGCACGCTCGAGATTATGTCACATTAAATGTACTAAAAAGTATAGCGCTTAAATCGATGCCCGTGTTCAAGCGAAAACCGAGCGGGCACCTTTTAACAAAACCACACAGATATAAAAAATGCAAAACAGAACAGGCTGCATGATCACTTCTCAGGGCTGTGACATGATAGCAGATTATCTCTTTAAACCAATTCAAAATGTTAGTGTATGCATTCGTAATGTGTAGATTGGTCGTTCTCTTATGTGATCTTTCGAAATACGTTATTCACATGTTACAGTCACTTGAGAACTTTATCTGATCGTATGTGGTTGTAAATATGACCACATTATTGCTTTACTTGGAGAACTACATTGGCTTCTTTTGGAACATGAGTAGCGGAATTTTAAATTATTTATGTCCGAGCTATAATCATCATTTGTTTCAAACTTTAATACAAGCCTGTTAGGAGTTCACGATATTAACCATGAACTTGTTAATTAGTGACACCCAGATCAAGGCAACATTTGATCGGGCGATGATGCTTTTTCGATTGTGCCCCTAAACTTTGCAATGATTCTCCAGAGCACATACAGTGTAAAATGGAGTTTGAATATTCGTTCTTCTAAGAGCAATCTTAAAGCTTTAAAAATCTCTAAGCATTATTTTTATTTCGTACTTTTGTTTAACAATTTTTTTCTTTTTTGTAATGTTACGAGATACCGTTTTCTAGTCGTTAAAGTTTAAAACGTTTATTTGATGACGATGACGGTGAGCCGAAAATCCTTAATGAAACCCAACTTCAAAAGCATACTGGGATGTCCCTGTCTATGCAGAGTTAATGAAAGTGAGCCAATTGGATAGATGCGTTGGGATTACAAATGTACACTCAAGGAAAGACATATTACTGGAGATAAAAAGATCTTCCCGTATTATTATATATGTACTGAGATTTACCCACTGAAAAGGCGCGAGATAAATTTGGTTCACAAGCTGGTCTAAAAACCCAACAGCCAATCAAATGGCGCGTATTGCTTTTTCCACTTGTGAGGAAAACGATACGTCCAATCAGGTGCTGCGTATCATGTTTTTTGACGTGTGAGCCGTAACAAGGTGATTTTCATTCAGCTGGCAGCATTTCACTTTGTTAAAGAAATCTTTCGCAAGTGTTGAAGCTTAAAAACATGAACCAGAAAAGGTTTGTTGATCACGATACTTCAGTCGAGGATTACGTGGAAAGTCTCGGAAACAGGAATACGAAAGAGAAAAGGAAACGAGATGTGAATTTGCTGGAAACGCTTTTGAGAAACAAAAAGAACGACGAGCGAGAAGTGCAAGACATAGAGCCCGCAGAATTAAACAAGCACCTTGCGGAGTTTATTCGTTCTCTAAGACGTAAAGACGGAGAGGATTGTGAGCCTTCAAGTTTAAGATGCCTTGTTTCAAGTATTGAATGACATTTGAAGAAAAATAACTATACTAAGAGTATCATTAACGATAAAGAGTTTGAATTGTTTAGAAAGTGTTTACAGGCTAAACAATAAGAGCCTAAGAAAGCAGGCCGAGGCAACAAGGACAAAGCTGCTGTGGCAATCACGGACGGTATCCCTGTCAAATTCGTTAAAATGGTGGCTGATTCCATTGCTGACCCCTCAGAGCTATTATAAACAACTGTATTAGGAAATACTATTTTCCTAAGGCCTGGAAAAATGCGAGGATCAGTCCAATTCCTAAAGTAGATCAACCGAAGTCCGAGAAACACTTTCGTCCCGTTTCAATTCTCCCCACACTATCAAAAGTCTTTGAGAAACTTGTCGCGCTGCAGATGACCACCTTTTGTAAATCTGAATCAGTTGTACTCCGCGATACAATTTCTAGCTTTCGTAAGGGACACTCGACCAATACAGTGCTAATGGGTTTGCGCGACGATTTACTAAGAGCGATGAAAAAAGGTGAGGTTACTCTCATGGTGCTGGCCGATTTCTTCAAAGCGTTCGACACAGTCAACTACAAGGTTCTTATAACTAAGTTATCAACGCTTGGTTTCTCGAAGCCGTTTCTGCGCTGGTTGAATAGCTACTTGATTGACCGGTCACATTTCGTACAGATCGATGATCGTACATCTGAATCAGTGAACGTACGTTTCGGTGTGCCACAAGGGTCGATCCTCGTCCCAATGTTATTTAATCTCTACGTTTCCGATCTGCAAGATCGTCTCCCTTCCTCGATTGGTTCATTTCAATACGCTGACGATACTACAATATACTCCAGCTGTCCAGCTCCTGAGCTACAAACATGTGCGCAAGAACTAAACTCCACACTAAACACTGTGAGCTCCTGGTCTAATGACTCCCATCTAGCACTTAACTCGAAGAAGACAAAGACGATGTTGCTATCCACAAGCCAGATGTCACATGTACATAGTTTAGGTAAGAACCGACCAGCTATTACAATCTCAGATAGTACATTAGAATATGCAAATGTAAGTAAGCTTCTTGGTGTCCATTTCCATCGGCATCTTAATTGGGATGAGCACGTGAAAGCAACGTGCAAGAGCTGTTACGGAACAATACAAATAATAAGAAAACTTAAGAACTTTGCTGGTTATAGACTCAGAAAGCACTTAGTGGAGTCACTGGTGCCGTCAAAACTTGACTATTGTGACACTGTCTATTACCCTTTGCCGGAATTTCAACTAAAGCGTTTACAACGTGTCCAGCTAGTAGCTGCTAGTTTTGTCCTGAATAGGTATGTAAATGACATTAACGATATTGTTAAGATAGGGTGGTTACCAGTAAGACAGCGAAGAGATTTCCACGTTCTCAAACTCGTTCACCAGGCTTTGTACTCCCCCAGCTGGCCGTCTTACGCACCAGTAGATACAGTTAAACATCTGCGATCTTTGCGGTCAGGAGCAGTAACAAGATTAACTATACCAATGGAGAGGGGCACTTTTCAAGACTCTGCTGCCAAGTTATTTAAAGTCTTTCCGGCAAATATTGGAAACTGTAACGATTTCAAAGTATATTGTAGGGAAGTTAATGCCTATCTATTAATTAACATTTGTAAATAGTTTGTAAATTGTATATAGGGTTGTATTACTATTACTAATCTTTATAACATTTTTATTTTTTATACAATATCCTTTTACGATTTCCATTAATGCGCTTACTACCTCGCCGACCATTCAAACCAGGAGTTCCGTCACCGAAACCACCGAAAAAAGGCGGAAGAGAATCCGAATTGAGGAGTCCGACTCGGATTAAAGTTTAGAAATAATATTTTAACATTATTTGCTTGCTGTAATGTTAAATTTCTGGCAGAAATTCAAGCTTATGTTATAATCCTTGCATGAGTTTTTAACTTGAATTCATGTAACAGAGTTTTGTCTTGGTCTGTCATTAAAGACGATAAACAAGAATTTAAATATCAGTATATATATAATAAACACAATACCACATGGAAAGTGCTTTGTACGGTATTTACGCACTCGTTTTTCTATCAGAAATCGAACGAGTGAGCGCAGCGAACGAGTGAGATTTCTGATACGTCAACAACTCGTGCGTAAATACCGTACGCCCACACTTTCCATGAAGTATTCTCTATTTACATCATGTTACATGTCGTGCTTGTTGATCGCTATATCAGTGAAGAGAACTGACGGTTTTTTCTTTGTGACTTTGTTTTATCTACGTAAGTTAACTTACGAAACCATTTTTTTTAACAAATAGATTTTTTTCTCAAGCAGAAACTAGGACCTTAACTATTGACTGTGTTTTATTTTCGTAGGTTAAATATACTTTCATTTTAATTAGGTCTTTTTTTCTTTACATCTGGTTTTAGTTGTTTAGCACTAACTGATATCGTGTAGCGTTTACGTAGGTCACTGATTCCTGGATTTTCTTTAAATGTCTTGTTTTTTAGAAAATGCCACGGAGGAGGACAAACGGCAGTTAGTTCGGGAATTGAGCTGATGAAGGAAGTCGGAACACACCGTAATATTGTGAGCATGCTCGGCTACTGGATCCAATCACCTCCCATTATGTTAATCATGGAATATGTTCCAAACGGAGATCTTCTACAGTGGCTCAGAAACAAAAGGCAACAGGTATCATTACTTTATCAGCTGTATCAATAAATATTTGCTGCCCTCTTTTTTGCTTTTTGTTTAAAAAATACCTGCTTGCCATTTGGAATAGCGCTGCGCACAGGTATTATTTATAGAGCTCAAACTCAGACAAACAAATTCCTCATTTTGGTTTGTTTTTTTTTTGGTCATTAAAATGTCACGCTTGTCTGACTTTTGTCATGAAAATAACAAAAATGGCAGATTTCAGACAAACATTGCAAATTAGTCACTCTGACGTCATTAGTATTCTGTGCTGTACTTTAATTTTCTAAATGACTATCCTGCTGCGTGTGTATGTTCTTTTTCTTACATTGTGAGGTCTCTTAGGGCAGAAGCAAAATCCTCTATCTCATCACACGTCTAAAAACCCTTGTCTTCAGTAAAAATAATAACATGCTAAAAAACTTGTTGTGAACTTTTGTACATGTTAGCTATACTTTAAGTTGTCAAAGACAGAGGTGCACTTAAAAATGTAGATCAATGCAATCTGATATTCGTATTTTTCCAAACGCAGTTTATATCTGCAGCCAGATCTTCTTCTGTTTAAATGCTATTCATGTATTCGGAAAACAAAGATCGGTAAATACGCAAAAATTTGTGTTCAACACTGAGTTAATTAAGTCAAGTTTGCCCCGGTAGGAACAGTTAAGATTTCTGGAAAACTGCCCACCTATCGCTTCCCTAAGCCACATTTTGCCCTAAGTGAGAAGGTAGTGTTGATGTTGTCTTAGGGGAGGGGTAGGTGGTCAGAAAAGAAAAAAAATAACCTTGACGTTTTGAGCGTTTCCCCCAGGGTGTACTCCAGCTCGATAGGATGCCGATCTCCATCCTTAAATATGATATCCTTGTTGCCCTTAATGGCGCAGTGTTGCCGATGTGATCTTTAGATAGGGTACCGTTATTCTATCGGGTAAAACTCACGTTCGTTAATGCCCTACACACGAGAAGCAAGTGAACTTTACCCTAGAGCTGATTAGGAGCACGATTTAAGGAAGTTTTTTTTCTGTTTCCCTTAATTCTTAGGTTTTGTTTTTCCCTTGAACTAGGCCTCATTTTCCATGTTTGAGTCTTCAATAAGATATTGGTTTTCGCTTGTCTCAACTATTCGAAATTTTTTTAAACTTCACGAACATCGAGGCGGCTATTGGAGAAAAAAGCTCCCGCAAACGATTTTGGAAGAACAGTTCCCAGTGCCGAGAAATACTGCTGCAAGTGAAATAGGTAATAGCGTCATTTCGTTGCTATGACAACTCCGGCGTCATTGCAACCTTGATCATAACAAATTTCATCTTTATCTAATACAACAGTGGTGGCAATTTTTCCAAATCTTTGTTTATGGCGACGTAGTTTATGCTCAAACTTGCGAGGTATTGACCCTGAAAAACTGTATCGAGCCACCTTAAAAAGCCCATTATAATATTTTTGTGTAGATAATAATTGGCCGTCCCGAGGCCCTGTACGAGACATGACGTCACAAGGTCAAACCAAATATCAAGAAACACTTGTCGCGTTTTTGAGACTGTGTATCTTAAAATGTCATAGAAAATTGTAACAAAGCAGGAGAAATGCTTAGTTTCTATTGCAGTTTAATCCATTTGAATTTTCCGTGGACTATTTAGAGAAGGGGGCTCACAAGGTATTCCCACCTAGATTTTCAGTTAAACTTCGTTTAAGTAATCTTTCAATTCTTAGAGATTCCTTTTAAATGGGCAAAAATATTTCGGCTAACCAACTGATGGTGTTGAAGTTGTTTCTGCTGAAAGAACGGTTTCATAACCAGACGGAATTCATTTCAGTATTTTTTTTGCAGCTTACAATGAAAAAGAGTCGTCAAAGTGATGTCGTTGAAAGGCTCAAGCTTCCTGTTCCTGAGTTGCCGAAATTAGTGTCCAGGGACCTGCAAACAAAAGATGTCCTGGATGAAAACCTGAAAGAGGAGAACAGAGAAAGAAATAAGGAAGAATGTGAAAAAGGAGGTGTTTATCATTCCAGCGAGGCGAAGGAAATTAAAATCGACCTGGACGACGATGAAAAAGGAGTTCTAATCAACGAAGCGCCTCAATCTGAGATGGAACCTCCTTGCTTAAACCTGGGTTACGAAGATGACAAGCAGGAAGAAGAAAGCGACGATGTCAACCCGTCACGTGCACAGACCGAAGGGCAAAATTGGCCGGTTGCGTCGGTGATGGTATTACCTTCGATCAATATTGCCCATTTCTTCAAAGAAAAAGAGCTCACTCCTGCTGAACCTTTAAGAAACGCCAAAGAAAATATCACCATCGAGAAAGAAGAAGGCAGCTGTGAGGGCAAGGAAGATGACGAAGAACGCATTTCTGGAAAAGAAGTTCTATGTTATTCATGGCAGATTGCTAAGGGGATGGTAAGAACTTTTTCGACTGAAGAATGCCTTAAGCAATTTAGTCATCGTTTGCGAATCACAAAAATCTGCCTCTTTCCCGTATCATGTTTAAAATACTGTATTACTAGTTTTTCTGTGTCTACAAGTATATGCTATCTGGTCATTAGACGGCAGATTTTTCAAGCATTCATATTGCTGCGTTAATTATAAAAGCTATTAATTATTGTTAATTGCTTGATCTTGCTGGATTTTTTGGGAAACATAACACGTATAAAATTGAGCCGTTTGATTGTAAAAAAAGGCCAAAAAAACGATTTTTTTTAATAGCCCGAGAGGCCTAAAAATCACATGGAGCCGTTTGTGAAGGTACCTATTGAAATTTAATCAGGTCTGTTCATAGTTTCGAAAAGGTGTCTTATGAATATAGTCATATGACCGGAATAAGACTTAACTATCAGTTATTTTATTTGCATTGATCAACGAAGCTTAACATTCATGCCAGAACAGGAAATAAAGGGCAGGGAAAGAAATAAACAAATTAAAAGCAGAGGAAAGAAAAAGCAATGATTAAATTTGTTTTCGGGACTGGATGAGCAGCAAGGACAAGATAAATACTACCGTAATGGGAAAATTGGAAAGCACAATAAAAGGTCTGCAAGTGGAACTGATGGCTGAAGGGATTGCTTTTCGTAAACGGCCACCATGATCATGGCTCAATTGATATATCTGATGGCTCAGCTGTAATTTTTATTTTTCAGCCAATATTCGTCCCTTCGAGTTATCGAGGGTAAGATTGTGTAAAAGTGATCTGAAGAAAAACAAAAATTACTTCGGGTTAGCAGGAATTTTGAGTTATCGAGGGTTCGAGTTACTGATCAAGGTTAAAATTACAGTAAATTGAAGAAGGAAACCCTGGGGAAATCGATTCGAGTCAGCGCAAGGTTCGAGTTAGCGAAGGTTGAAGTCGACTGTAGCTAGTTCACTTAGCTTGTTCAACTTTGACGGCTTTTTGTGCTGAAAGTTATGCGGCGCGAGGATTACTTAGCCAATTACTTAATTTTTTCATTCGTTTTCCAACAACTGTAACGGAAATCCTCCCTCCATTCTTCAAGAATAATTGAAATATGCGCGACAGTGTCAAAGGCACATAACCGACGATCAGTTTTCCTCCCGCTTTCTAGCCTGTTCCAGGCGTTCAGATGGTAGAGCGCGGGAGAAAAATTCACGAAGAAAAAAAAAACGAAAGGGGAAGGGGGAGAGAACGCCTGTAAACATTCCCTTACAGAGCTCTTTCCGCCTTTAATTGACCGCCGACCGCGTAACTGTGACGTGAATTACAAAGTGCTGACAGGCCAGACGCGACCCATAAGCTCGTGATAGTGTGAAACGTGACCTTTCAATAAACAACATCAGAGGTTTTTCTTCTTTTAACTAAGCAAATCTAATTTCTGTCGCTCTGGGCCTAACATTTAGACGGTCAGTCATGCATACTGGGCAATTATTTCCTGAGGTTTGTTTCTGAAAGAATTTGATTCCAGATGCAGTTAAGTACTGATTTTCTTTGACCTCTATTAAAGCATTAATCTGTTTATTGCGGCTAAATAACCTTTCAAATAAGATTTTTTTTTTGCCTTTCTGGGCTTCCATAAATGATCTCACACGTACACCTTCCTTTCACATTGCCGTGTCTTCGTCCATGCCTTCCTCCTATCCCCAACCTATGGGTGTTGTTGCTGTTATTCCAAATAGCTTGAGCTTGGTTTCATTATGGATACGAGAGGCGCAACGATGATGATCGTGGAAATTGACTCGCTAACGTTTCCTTTGATTACGTTTATTATTCGAGGAAAAAGTAAAAAAATGAAAGTCTCCGAGAGCCCGTTGGAAGAATCGCGAAAGCCTCCTGGCCTCGGCGAACGAGATTCAAGCAAATGTTCTGCTCTTCACGAAAAGATTCCGCATACAGGAAATGCTCGATTGCATTGTTTATAGCCGAGCTTCGATGTCCGCGTGATTCGATAACAGATGTCTCTCTCCCTCCATATCGCTTTCCTCATCAATGTCACCAGTGCTCGAGTGTTAACAGAAGGTGTCATAATCGACCAATAAGAGGGTATACTGGAATCCAGTATACCGGAACGACCAGTTTGTTAATAATGTTTACAGGCGTTCTCTCGCTCTCGCCCCCACCCCGCCCGTTTCCCCGATGTACAACTTAACTCGCTCCCCACTTACCGCCGCGCTCTACTATCTGAACGCCTGGAACAGGCTACCCGCTATCCAGACCGTTTGCCTGGCACAGCTTGTAGTGTCCTCAGATAGTAGGGATGTCACTTAAGTGTAAGGCACGCAAAAATATGAGCTCGTGATCTAGGAAAAAGAGGGCGGCGGAGGGCTATCTTTGAGCCTGAAACAGGCGTTTCATTGCACTTGGTTGCTTTTCCCCCAAATCGTTAAATCGGGAGTTCGTTTACAACGATAACCCGATTAAACGATATGATTTTGCAATCCCCGTAAAATCGAGGCTCTGTAGTTTTACTTTCATTTGACCTATCAAATATAAATTTGCGTTGATCTTAAGGTATCTGTTACTAAAAATTGTTTGAGAATTAATTTTCCGATTATTTCTCTGCCAGGAATACTTGGCCAGCAAAGGATTCATTCATCGTGATCTGGCAGCCCGTAATATCCTACTTGGTGAAGACAGAATGGTAAAGATTGCTGATTTCGGATTGTTACGCCACACAAATGAGAGTGGGATTTGCGAAGTGACGAGCGTAAACAAGCTATCGATGAAATGGATGGCACCTGAAGCGTTGGAAAGTGGCATTTTTACATTCAAGACTGACGTGTAAGTTTATGTCAATGCGGTCTCTGTTAGGCCAAGCTTGGGTTACCTGTGATGCTGTGTGACTTTGTAGTTTGCCAGTAGTGCATTGAGGTTCTCGATATCAAAGACCCTGCAATGTACTGTTTAGAATAAATAAATAGCTAAAGATAGGCAGAATTTTGGTCATAGCAGTCTGTCTATAGCGGCAGTTAGGATAGCAGTCATTATCACGACACTGTATCTCTTGAGAAATATTCTGGGACGTGGAAAATATAGCCTGTTCAGGCGTATCAACATGAAAAAAAATAATAATAAAAATAATTAAATAAATAAATAAATAGAAACGTTTAGCTGGTCTTGGATCCGGGATTCCAGATACTAGATTCAGGATTCCAACCCAGTGTATTCTGGATTTCAAAAAGAGCTTAATTCCAGATTTTAGTCGTTAGCAGGATTCCGGATTCCAATCTGGATTCCGGATTCCAATGTTCATTCAATCCGGAGTTCGCGAGCAAAAATTTACCCTCACGGATTACGTTCAGTGGTGCCAGGTTAACAAAGGTTTTTGTTTTCCTTCCCGAATTTGTTATTTATATGAATTTAACCGTTGCTATTTCTTTATCTGCTTCCTTTTATTGCAGATGGTCTTTTGGAATTGTTCTGTGGGAACTAGCCACCATGGGTAAGCTGGTTTTTTTAAAAACCTTTGTATATTTAAGCACGTAAATTTTACGAGCATGAATAAAATAGAGCCAAAGTATGGAAGGTCGCACATACACGTAAATTTTAAGTTGAATCTCGCTCAATACCGACGCTTACGCGCGACCTGTCATATATGTACATTCAGCACATTGCCTCTATTATACTTACGTGCGTACACAACGTGCGTATGCACGGCGTAACAATTATGCGACCGTGGAAATCCACCCTGATCGATTTCGCTGCTCTCTCCTGTCCAGTCTTATTCCTTTCCGCACCCCGAGAAAAGACTTCCGCGAGGAGGAGCGCGGGCCCATAATAATCGAGCCAATTAGTTATTAAGGTTGTTCAAAAGGTGGATAGCGCTATTCAATTATGGGCAAATCGTTTTCCAGTGGATAAGTATTAGAGAAAACAATTGTAAACTTGTACATTTTGTTATTTTGTTCCCCCTCCTAAGTTGACGAATTGAAAATATAGTACAAAAAAAAAGCCTTATGATCTTTGATAAAACAACATTCATCTTGAAATTGTCATTGTCATTTCAGGGGGTACTCCATACCTTGGGATAACCTCCAAGAGGCTATGTAGTTTACTTAAATCTGGATATCGGATGGAGAAACCCAACACGTGCAGTGATGAAATGTAAGTCAGAGTAGAAACAATAAAAGACGCACCCGAAAAGAGGGCACGATGAAGAAATCTTTACACGGTCCTTCAAACAGTTTTTTTTTCTTTATCGAATATTGTCAGCCTCTTCAAAGGAGTAGAAAGTACAGCACGCCTCTTTCCTTTACGTTGCCCCATTCTAAAAAGAGCCTAGAACGTAACTGTCTCCAATATTAAAAGTAAATGGAAACATGATATCTTTGTGTGGTAGTACTTTAAACAATGGCTTCCACTCTCAACAGATACAAACTGATGATGGACTGCTGGAAGGATGATCCTAATGAACGACCCTCATTCTCTCAACTGATTCCAATACTAGAGGAGATGATGACAGAAGATACCCCATGCTATTGTTTCAAACTGCTGGATCAGAACCAGCCATGTTACCGTGAAGCATCTGCTACTAACACCAGTAAAAACTAGTACTCTTGATACGAAGCTGTAATTTCTGTAGGATCTCTGTGGTTTAATTTTTGTCTTAGAACCGCTTCTTCTTCAGATTAATAGGGAGCTTTAGCAACGACGACGGCGACGGCAGCGAGAACCTCAAAAAAGCAATAGATTTGATTAGCAAAACAACAACTTTGCACGTGCATCACGCTTTTTTGTATTTTACTTTGCCGTCACTGCACAACTACGGCGTGAAATCCCTAATTTCACGTTTTATGGAGGACGTAAACTAGCGAAAACGAATTTTTCTTTCTCTTTCAAAACTTGAGTGTGGTCCCTAAGAAATCAACCCCAAAGAAATTTGCCCACATTTGACATTTTCAGGGAATTGGAATAAGCGTGATACAGTTTGAAAAAACGCAAATTCAGTTTAAAGATGACTTTTTCGCTGCCGTCGCCGTCTTCGATGCTAAAGCTCCCTAAAACAGGACCCTCCGGGAGGCTCCAGTATGAAAGCATACTGGAATGCTCGACTGATATTTAGACTAATAATTAGATTGCACCCGTCCGTAACACCAAGTAAATACCCATATTAAACTGCTATGTTAATGTTTGCCAGCATTAGCATTCATAACCAGTCTCCTCTTCTGACTATGATTTGACCGCCAAAGTAGAACACTCTCTATTAACTCATTATGACAACATCTTTTATACATAGATATTTAATTTCTTTACGTTCAACCCGAATTAAGCGACACTTATATGAGTAGAAATATTAGCTTTTCGTCTTGCACACCCAAAGTGGGACAAAAAAAATGCAATTTCTACGTCTAAGCGAGACGACCAGCATCCGCGCTATTTTCATATGGGAGTCCCCCTCCTCTCCCAACAAAGGAATTATAGGACTTAGATGACGAGCACAACTGTTTAATGGGTTATTACAATAAGATACCCAGTAATATTTAATTTCATTTGAAAGAAATCGAGAAAATTCTGAATAACATAGTTAATGTAAAAATTTTAGGGACTAAAATCGGGTTCAATTTTCTTAAGCATATTAATATCGCATGCTATTCCCCAACCTCTTTCCCAAGAGAGAACCCTGGGAACGAGGTTGGCCATTCCCCACAAATGACTATTAAGTTGTTAATATAACTCGAATCTCTAGTTCTTTCACTTTTTTAGTCTGTCTACGCAGTACTGGAAATAGTTTTTTTGCGCCGACATGAAAAGGTATTCGACACAGCATAAACAGCAACGGCAGAGAACTGGAACAAGTTGTTCACACACATCGAACATTGTACCAGAGCGGTTGACCGAGAGGCCAGTTTAGTGAAATAAATCACAGTCCTCTCTCCTGAAAATGTGGGTCCCAGCCCACGCACGCCCCTACCCATTTACCTGAAAACCTCTTTACACTGCGACAAGAAGTGGCAGAAACCTATCCAATATTTGATGATCCACATTTCAAGATGGACGGCGGCGCAGTTTCGCTCCCTAACAGGAAAATCACCGTTTTTATTTTAGAACAGAAGCAAAATCCGCTATTCTTTTCAGTGTCGGTGCGAGGGCTATCAGGTATAGTGTGGCTGATCATAGCCTTCAGAGTTCCTCAGACGCCAGATATTAACCCACCACATAATTCCGTGGCCATAATTCAGTGTTACGAAGGTGTGGCTGGGTTAGTTTGAGCGCGGCTTACCTTTTCTAGTGGACTTAAAAACGTTTCCGAAAAGAGGAATGGGTTAGAGCAGTACCATTTGCAAAACACCAGGTAACGAGTGGGCTTGGCTAAAACAGATCACCTTTCGCCTAAAGAGGAAGCCTGACACTGGTCGTTTCGGTAAAAAACGGGAAAAAATAAAAACCTCGATAATATTGACAATATTGCCAGTAGAAGAAAAAAAATCCAAAAATTGTAGAGACCTTTGGTGCTGTTGAACAATAATTATGGTAATTTTATGGATTAGATTTTTGTGCTCTTTCAAATAGTGTCGTTAGCAGATCATTCAGGAAACCTACGTCTAGGTATGAAAAGTGACCGGGAACGAGAAAATGATTATCAGGAGCAGTTCGGAAAAAATAACATTAAATTTCCGACGGATGGTGCCAATACAATACGCAATGCAGGAACCTTTGTTACAATTTCTGCAGCTAAGATCAAGGTTGGAATTTGGTATACAATATATAACACGCTATTCTCTAAAGACGCAATATCAGGGTCAGCCACCGGAAGGAGACTATCCGCTTCGGCGTTCAGCCGGTACCCCTTCTCCTTCTGCATATATAATTCTTTTATTTAATGGATCATACTCCACCTCATGAATAATTTACTAATGACTCATAGCTTTTAGATCCGAAATGTCATCGAGAAGCTTAAGAAGCGTTTGCTGGTTTGTCAATCACGGAAGTATGCCAGGAACGAAGTCAGTACCAGTAAAAAAGTTTCGATGTTTGTAGCAATAACTTAACTTATGCAACCACATTTATTCATTTAATACATATTGCATATTTACCTAACAATATTGCTTCATTTTATAATGATAAAAATAATTTTTTGAATGGCAGTGGTAAGATATAATAGAATATTGTAGGGGCTTCGGTTTGAATGGGTCATTTGATATATCGTACTATTATCCAAATTCATAGCCACGCCAAGAAAACCCGGTGGCGATCAGCACCTGTTTGAAAGGATTGTTTGTGATTGGCTGGGGAAACAAGAGGGATTGTGACATAACAATATCCCTATCCCTGAAAACAATGGAAGTGCAGATGAAATAAGAGGTTTAGAACGGCGCAGGTCAAAAACCCAGAAGAAACTAATGTCATCACTCCTCTTCTTTGTGTTCTCAGGACATGACCTCACTTGATATATCGATACTGGCCTATTTCATAAACGAATGTCCAGCTTTTGTCAGTTTCTATATATTTGATGTCATTCTTTAAAATAAATTAAAGGCTTTTAAAATTTATCTGTGTTTGTGGTCATTTCTGACTGATACGCTGAGAATCTCGAGAAAAGCAATCTCCNTATTTAATGGATCATACTCCACCTCATGAATAATTTACTAATGACTCATAGCTTTTAGATCCGAAATGTCATCGAGAAGCTTAAGAAGCGTTTGCTGGTTTGTCAATCACGGAAGTATGCCAGGAACGAAGTCAGTACCAGTAAAAAAGTTTCGATGTTTGTAGCAATAACTTAACTTATGCAACCACATTTATTCATTTAATACATATTGCATATTTACCTAACAATATTGCTTCATTTTATAATGATAAAAATAATTTTTTGAATGGCAGTGGTAAGATATAATAGAATATTGTAGGGGCTTCGGTTTGAATGGGTCATTTGATATATCGTACTATTATCCAAATTCATAGCCACGCCAAGAAAACCCGGTGGCGATCAGCACCTGTTTGAAAGGATTGTTTGTGATTGGCTGGGGAAACAAGAGGGATTGTGACATAACAATATCCCTATCCCTGAAAACAATGGAAGTGCAGATGAAATAAGAGGTTTAGAACGGCGCAGGTCAAAAACCCAGAAGAAACTAATGTCATCACTCCTCTTCTTTGTGTTCTCAGGACATGACCTCACTTGATATATCGATACTGGCCTATTTCATAAACGAATGTCCAGCTTTTGTCAGTTTCTATATATTTGATGTCATTCTTTAAAATAAATTAAAGGCTTTTAAAATTTATCTGTGTTTGTGGTCATTTCTGACTGATACGCTGAGAATCTCGAGAAAAGCAATCTCCAGTTTTAACTTGAAAACAAATCTTAGGGAAGAGTCAGGCAGAGAATGAACCTAATCCTTGCCCTGTCTGTTGCCGCTTTTTCGTCTTCTCTTCACCCTGTTCCCCCCAAGACAGATTATTTAGCCTAATGATTCAAACTAGAGAAAAAGCGAGACGGTCATGTGGTATCTTTGTTTACTAAGACGTTAATTCGAATTCGACATGTGCTTTACCACATGTTGCAAAAGGCAAACAGTTTGTGCAAAATCATTGTTTTTTTCGTACCCTCTAACTGATAAATAACCAATTGCCTCGTTTGTGTATACAGAAACCCCTTAGGATCTTTCCCCTGGAGGGCTAATTTGAATGGACCGGCACAAATATCACAAGGCACATTGCGTGTTGGAGTGGAGAGGGAACTGCATGAGTGAGACAATTTGAGCGTCAGTCAAAAACGAGGGTTGTAAAAAAGCCGGCTTCTTGGGCTCTGTGAGAAAAGGCCAACAGATTCGATGGGAAATAATTGACACGCCGACGCCACAAAAATAGATTATCCTCTCTACGCGCACCTGAATTTACTATAAATACGTCAAACAACAAGAAAATAGATTGGAAGTTGGTGCCACTACAAAAATGCTCGTGGAAGTTGTGAAACGTCGTACGCTTGACAAAATTCTTCAGAGAAGACAACCTCTTTGACTACGACTCCTCAACCAAGCAGAATGCCCCGTTCTATATATTCTGCCTTAGGATAACAATATTCTCCGTAATATTCTGTTTCACCATAACCGTAAGTGGAACAATTTGACCACCAGATTTCCAGCAAGGCCGCAGCAGTCTTATTGGGCAAATTACTACACTATTTGAGGTCTGGCAAAAAAGGTTCTAAATTTATAAGGTTCTTCATTTCTATTTATTTGGAAGGAGCCATAGTAACTGTTGTTGACTACCACAAAAATAAAGAAACTTGAGAGTTTGTCCTTAATTATACAGCAGTGGCCTTCGGGCTTCAGTTTGGTCTACAAAGAAGTGGAGGGAAAGGCCCCGTCCCTGGATCCGCAACTGTAGTTTTAGTTTAAATTTAACAATACTTTGTCAAGCAAAAACAAGTAAATAAATTACAGAAAATACAAAAAGTCATGACTGGAGACTAATTGGGGGAAACTAAATTCTCATACAAAGAATATTCTCCAATATTAAACATACTAAAAATTAAGAAGTAAAATTTAAATGCGGCCCAAAACTAATTTAATTAAATTGCATACTAAAATTGACACAAAAAAATAAGA